TTATTCAAGTCTCGCAGTGTATATCTATGCTGCACGCCCAAAAGAAATTGTGTTAATTTTTATCAGGTATTAGACTATGTTGTATTTGTTTGTTTTTTTAATAGTGCCACTGCACTGTAGCTCACATGGATATGAAGTCAACATTTATAATGTCAATAAAGACAGACACTAAAAAGGGGTTGCGGCCAGCATTGATATAATCTGCATAAATACTGAAGACTAAAAGTCAACACTACAATTAAATGATTTAAACAAGACATGATATCATCATACGGAGAAACATACATGCCAAAGTGCAGCTACCTCATTCAAATATGACTCTTTTAATTTAAGAGCATTGTTGGTCAACGCAAGGCCCATATTTGAAATATTGCAAAAAGAAAAACACCGCAAAAATACCCCCCAACATATGTGTTGCAACTAAACAAACATTACACTGCTGACGAGGCGGCCATATTGGAAATCGGATTCTAAACTCTTGAACAAATTCGAATGTCCTGATTGGTGGGAACAAGCATGGGACATTCATTGTCCTGATTGGTGGGAACAAGCATGGGACATTCATTGTCCTGATTGGTGGGAACAAGCATGGGACATTCATTGTCCTGATTGGTGGGAACAAGCATGGGACAAGCATTGGTCTTGTGGGTTTGGAGGAGATGATGTGTACAGTCTGAGGAAACGTATTTGAAGAGAATTAAGAGCCGGGACAAAGTATGAAGGACAAATAAAGGTCAAAATGGAAAATATCGCAAAAATGGAAGATCTGTGCTGAGCACCACTACTAACTACACATATACCGAAATCCATTTTGAAAAAAAAGAGTTAGATGTATATTGGCCATAAGAAAGTTCAGCTTGCAATTTGGTCGAAATGCAAAGGTTACATCGAGATCAAACTTCAAAACATTGGAAAAGCGGAACATATATGTTGAGCCCCGTTACTAACTACACTTGTTCCAAATTTCATTACAATTTCTTTTTCAAAAATGGCTGAGTAATGGGCAAAACTAGTTTTTTCCAATACAGATGAGGCGGACATATTGACAATCTCTTGAACAGTCCATTGAGATGGCATCATTGGTTGGAACAAGCATGTGAAATTAAAGCTACATCGGTCTAGTGCTTCCTGGGGAGATGATGCGACTACGAGGGATGCCTGACGACATACGTTCACTTGACTTTCAGTCAGGTGGGCTAAATATGCGCTTAGTCAACAATCTAGGAAAATCGAACGTCAGTGGAAATCCCAACCCCCCCCCCCCCCCCCCCACACACACACACACACCCCACACACACACACCCCACCCCACCACACCCCACCCCACCCCACCCCACCCCACCCCACCCCAACCCCTACCCATGAATATAAGATATGTCTCCAGTAATGATAACACGTGAAATTACGATTAATGTTTAAGGGGAGGAATTCAGCATATTTTACTCCCGCTTCAATCAATTGTTGAAACAACGAGGTAAAGTAGCCCTGAACCAGTTCTACTAAGCAATCGAAACTTTAAGATACTGTGACTACTGTCGTCGCATTGTTGGAACGGAGTCAAGATTGATAGGTTATCGAAACTATTGAATGTACTTTCAAGAGCCAAGTGTCACTCACAGAGCGATCAAATACAGATAATTCACAAACCACCTACCCCGTAGGGATTCCGGTTTAGAAAAGGTCCCTGCTGACATATGTTAGTCGTAAGGGAAGACTGAATGGATCAGGCTCGAGGACTTGACTGGTGTTTGTCAACGTGCCGTGACGGCATTGGACGTTGCCCAGAACATCAAACACTACATATATTGTCCGGTCCACACTCGATTATTCATAGATGGCCATAGCGTATATATTGCTGACAGCGTCAAGCAACAACACGCACAACAAAGCAACAACACTATATATTCCGTCACGGATATCTATGCCTAGAAACAGTCTGCACGGTGGTCGCGGCGCTAGGATTATGGCAACTTTTATAATTTAACACAGAGGCCTGACAGTTGTAGACTACAAGATCAGTTTGTGGAACGACTCTAGACAACGGGATTAAGACGTGTAGATCCACTGTGCTGCCCACGTGGGTGGAGCCCTTAAACCCACAGTGGGTGGGGCTTATGTCAGCAATGGACACTATCTTCGGCAAAACTAGTTGACATCTAAAGAAAACATCTCTGCGGCTGTCATTGCGTGATAAGATGTACAAAACATCATCTGCAGATGATGTGTAGAACATTTATATGTGGATTAAGAGTGTTTCGGACTGCATTTTCGAGTCTCCTTTTTTTATAAATCGTAATTTACGGAGTACACACGACTCGCTTATACTCACTATCCCTTATCAAGATATTGAAATGCCTTGGCTATATCCTTACGTTTCATAGCAATTTGACACCTTACACAGTAAAACCTCTTGGTACCAAAATCAATACTTATGCAGCGTTGTGTTTCGTGCAACTTCTAATCTGTCTCCGCGTATGGCAAAAGTGGGTCAGCTAATATTGCGTCACGGCGGGCTGTCAGTGTGCACATCATGGGTTCAAGCTGTCCATATGAGTTTCAATCAGCCATATACACCATAGCGGGATAAAACCAAATTCAGCTTCATTTCATCTCTGCCTTTTCTTAAGGACTTAAATACACTTAAGCCAAATAATAGGTTTAAGACCTCCTGTAAGGGACCTTTAACCAACTGAAAAGTCTGAAGCGCACAATGATCGGGTAGTCCCTTCCTGGACCCTCGAGGCTGTCATGAGCTGGTGCAGAGGCCTCTCCTGATCCCCTTCAACATGCATAACCCCATATATACTTATTTACTCTCTCTCTCTCTCTCCCTCCCTCTCTCTCTCTCTCTCTCTCTCTCTCTCTCTCTCTCTCTCTCTCTCTCTCTCTCTCTCTCGTAATGGCGGACAATCAGAGCCCAGTCGAGCTTCACGGCTGGCCAGTATTTTTGAGAACTTGAAAGGTGTGTTAGATACCCCATGTATTGTCAAAGCTGAAACCGTGATTGCTTGTTATAACATTTGCACCACTTTATATGATGCACAGTTACTTTTTCCGCTAGTATGTACATGCTATTTTATCAAAACCGGGAAGTCATGCATAACTGCTGGTGCGGCGAGGTGACCCCAAGTTGCACGTGCCCATCAGTGTGTGTTCCTCCTCCCGTCCTGCAGAGGTGTCTCGGCAACTTTGACACATAGAGGCAACTGTGTAATAATGAAAAATTTGGTGTGGCCATTACATGGTGTCATAGAGGTATATTACAAATGAGCAAATTGTTTCAACTGTGACAAGTCAGTAAAATAAGCATTGGTTTGTGACGTTTGGAGAGTGAACAAACTGGAGGAATGTGCAGTGATCAAGTACTTGCAGGGAAAGGTCCCCCACGAAGATATGAGTACAATACTAGGGAAGTGTGTCCCCTTCCTATGCCACCACAAATTAAAGAGGTGGGCCGGCAGGCAGCAGTGTGGCCTTGAAGACGACCCCCGTCTACACTCTAAATCTATGTGTTCTAATACAGAATACTGGACGCGTCCATGCGTTCTGCCACAGAATACGAATGTTCTAATTCGGGCAGCACGTGTTCTATTGCTGAACGCCTGTGATCTGTTGTAGAACGCGTGTGTTCTCTCCTGGGAGAAGTCCATGCACATTTGCAGAGATTATGTGCTGAATGTTGTTAGACAAATTTAAATTCGACCATATTTGTGTTTTCGGAATATTTATTTTTGAGAAGAAGAGAGGCTTGTAGATTGGTAAATAAAACAGAAAATGTGTATAAGAAGGGTTATATTTTGAGTTTGATGAATAATAAATAGTTTATTAACATGGCATACTTTGTGTTAATAATAACTCATATGTAGCCTGACTAAATACAACAAGAAACATTACTGAAATAAAACTAATTGCTAATACATGGAAATAACTTGCTTGCATTGGGGGCATTTACGTGTATCAGAACACTGGCATTCTGATGGCTAATTTTATGGGTGCTCTGGAACATATACGGTCTATTTGCTGAACACATGCGTTCTCTCCTAGAACGCATGTGTTCTGCTGTGTTCTATAATGATAAGCAGCACACTAATGTTATAGGCAAGAACACGTGTTCCATTAATAGAACATCGGGATTCTGTTTTTCTAACTAGCATTCAAAGCTGCCCATGCCCTGTGTAGTGACACCAGACATGATTCAGAGAATCCACAGTGTGGTGATGACCGACCAAGGAATGACTGAGCGTCATACTGCTAATTCAGCAGGCATTTCTCAGGAGAGAAAACACTCCTTTATTACAGAAACCTTGACAATGAAGACAGAATCACCAACAAACTCAACCTGTCTCGTCATAATCTAGCTGTTTGAAGCTGATCCAGAAAGTTTCTGGCAACGATTTGTGACTATGGATGAAGCCTGTGTTCACCACTTAAAAACCAAACAGTCTGCAGGTACTTGATCACTGCACGTCCCTCCAATGTGTCGTCTTTTCAAACGTCACAAACCTCCGCTTATAGTACTAACTTGATACGGATAAACAATTTGCTCAATTGACTCAATTTATATATACCTCTATGATTTCACATCCACAACAAAATATTTCGCTATTACGCAATTCCTTGTACGCGAGGCTTTGAACTTATCAGTCAACCGTGAAATCGTGGTCAAAATAAATTTCTTGAAATTTTACAGCTCTACACTGCTGATCAATGAACAATCATTTATACATTTTGCGCGAGATTGACAGGACAAAACACGTTTAAAGGTACAATCTAATGCAGCCAATCTGCATAATTCCTATTGACATAGATTTTATAAGTGTTACAAAATAATAAAACATATTATTTATTTATCTCCTAATGAACAGTGAAGATTCGCAATTTGTATGGACCACCTTCCTTGCACATTGCATCGCGTCAACGATCCGTTGTTTCGTCGAGCCGTTAATCTCCATTCGTCGCAGGCAGTCGCATTCCCAGTTTTATACGCAGCTTTTGTTTGGGTGTTGTTGTGAGACGAGAGAAGCCCGCCGGCGTTCAATTTCTTTCAGAGCACTTTTCAATTTGTCATCATGTGATTATACCTGGCAGAGTCCTCGTGAGGCTAGGAGCTTGTTCGGAATGTCAATTCTGAAGGTAATTTTGCATTTCTGTATTTGTTTCGTGAAAACTGTGTTTTGGCAGATCATTAAGACTGGATTGACGTGGTGTCAGGTTCAATGTTGCCAGGACTTGCAAGCTTGGGCCTGTCAACCATATACTAAACAGCGAGGAGAAAGGCCGAGTAAATGGTTCCCTGATAGCCGGCGTGATAAGCTTAATGGCTCAACACATAAAACTACAGTAAATCAATTTACAAGAATGGCTGTATAACAATTTGGAGAAAACGGGATATTGACTTATTTTTTAAATTAGGAAACTGGTCGTTTCGTTTCCTTTGCACGACAAATTTCGAAGTTCGTGTATTCATTTGTATGGAGCACCCACTGCGACTCATCATGTCCGAGAAGGTTTAAGACCATGGCCGTTATCGGGACTTCAAATATAATCTAGCGGAACAAAGATAAAATTAGGTACTCGTTTTATCAGGGAAGCCCAGCTTAACGCAGAATTTAACCCGTAACTAGGGACGCTTACGGCTAGAAACGCGTCTCGCCAAACGTTTGTGGCAGTAATAAGAGAAAGGTGACCTACGCGGTGATTTAATCCCATCATGCTCAGATCGCTCATTCGCCAATAGCTTAATTGGGGAGACGTTGTTGTTGTAGACTAGGTAATTACACGCTTGTTTAGGTTATAACAAAAAGGTTTACAGACATCAAATGCCTTTTTCTGAAAAAGAGTACAGTGCTATTTGGTTGATCAGCTGATTTGACACATGTCTGCTAACAGGTTGGGGAAATGACAAGATGAAATTGACAACTAGCAACGCCCTCTGCTCCATCTATGTTGTAGGAACATGAACACCATCAAGGTATTCCATGTCTGGTGCTTGTATGTTGTCCTTCCCTTTTTGCATTTGTTCCTTCTGGTGATTGTTTTTACTGATCACAGTTTAAATCCCATGATTGTCACCTGCTCATTATAAACACTATCACATCCTTGCTTGTTCTTAACCGTTAATCAGAATTGATTTCACCTGATGCTTCCTAACTTTAAACTATTTAGTGGGCCTGATCATTGTCGAAAATATTTCACAGGTATGTTTATGAAATCTCCCATTTGGTGAATGGTTTGGGTCGTAATAGGGTCCTTTCATTAGTTGATGTTTGCATCTTCATGTATGTATTTTACTGTGCATTTTATCTTACATATGACCTTGCTTAATGGCCTTGTGCAAAGACATTTAAAGTTTTAAAACTGAAGTGATATTGCTGGAATATTGCTAAAAGCGGCGTAGAACAAAACTCACTCCCTCACTCACTTAAACTGAATCTGTTTCTCCTACTTTGTGTGATGTAGGTTTTTGTGTTAGATTATTTCTTCAGGACGTTCCCCTTTGAGTTCATGGATGCATAAATAACCCCCTACATCATGATTGTTTTCAAGGAAGCCAACAAACAATAGGAGCTGATATCACCATCATGACAAAGAAGGAGGTAGAATTTAATATTTTTTTAACTGTTTTTTCTTAGTCTGACACAACAGCTTTTGCCTTGTCACGACCAGATGTCAATTTTACGTCCAACGTCTCACAATGTTTGCATGTCACAGATTAACATTTACACTTGTTGCCCTGGAGGCTGTTTGTATTTGCACACAAGTTTCATGATACTCCACACTTTAGATCTTTGAAGTTCAGTATAAATGTTATGTTTAAACAAATTCAATTGAATGATGATCTCTTTCTCCGATTTAACAGGTGAATAATAGTTTCTACTGCACTGGGCTGTTCAACATTGTTATTCAAGATGCAGATTGTTTATAAAAACCATGTTACAGAATGTTGTGAAAATATGCAACAAGTTAATGTATTCTATTTGAGGATGTAACAATTCCCTAGTATTTACTCTGTGCCACAGTATGAATGTCATGTATCCAGTCCAAACAACAGGGTTAATTGTAAAATACTTTTTCCTGACTTTCTGACTTCTATTTCTCCCTCAGCTTGTAATCAGTTAGCTCCAGTTTACTAAGTATGTTTTGTTTGGTTCTCAAGCAGTGCTCAAGATAGACACTGTATCAATGTATTGTACCGATGAAATCTAGTCAAATATGGACAGATTGCAAACTACAACCATATCAAATGTGCCTGCAAACATTACTTTATGCTCTCATGAATAATTGTTACTGTCTCTTGTCTATTTATCCTCAGAGGCGATCTCCAAAACATTGTTAAACTTCTGTTTTCATATTGGACATTTCCTTCTGCTTAAACTTGAATGTTGTTTTGCGTCAGCATTAAGTGGATTTTCTCCCAATCCTGCATTGCCATTGGCTAAAAATCATCTTGGTTATGTTTACATTAGCTTGGTACCAAACTCTGAATGTGCAGCACAAGGTCTTTGAATGATGGCAGTGCAATATCATACCAGTACTCATCAATTCTACAAAAAATCAGTACAGTTCTTATTAGTTTGACAAACAATGTCAGGTACTCATCAGTTCTGACAGTGATCAGTACTGTACTCTTATGGTTGAAACTTATCTGGAGCACTGTCAAGTATTCCCTTGATCTACTAGACCTGTATCGATGACTGACATCCCTGTCTACACATCTACTAGACCTGTATCAATGACTGACAGCCCTGTCTACACATCCTCTAAACCTGTATCAATGACTGACAGCCCTGTCTACATTTCTATAGACATGTATCAATGACTGACAGCCCTGTCTACACATCTAATAGACCTGTATCAAAGACTGACAGCCTGTCTACATTTCTATAGAACTGTATCAATGACTAACAGCCCTGTCTACTATTCTATAGACATGTATCAATGACTGACAGCCCTGTCTACACATCCTATAGACCTGTATCAATGACTGACAGCCCTGTCTACACATCTACTAGACATGTATCAATGACTGACATCCCTGTCTACACATCTACTAGACCTGTATCAATGACTGACAGCCCTGTCTACACATCTAATAGACCTGTATCAATGACTGACAGCCTGTCTACATTTCTACTAGACCTGTATCAATGACTGACAGCCCTGTCTATACATCCTCTAGACCTGTATCGATGACTGACAGTCCTGTCTACACATCTACTAGACCTGTATCAATGACTGACAGCCCTGTCTACACGTCCTCTAAACCTGTATCAATGACTGACAGCCCTGTCTACATTTCTATAGATATGTATCAATGACTGACAGCCCTGTCTACACATCCTCTAGACCTGTATCAATGACTGACAGCCCTGTCTACACCTCTACTAGACCTGTATCAATGACTGACATCCTGTCTACACATCCTCTAGACCCGTATCAATGACTGACAGCCCTGTCTACACATCCTCTAGACCTGTATCAATGACTGACAGCCCTGTCTACACCTCTACTAGACCTGTATCAATGACTGACATCCTGTCTACACATCCTCTAAACCTGTATCAATGACTGACAGCCCTGTCTACATTTCTATAGATATGTATCAATGACTGACAGCCCTGTCTACACATCCTCTAGACCTGTATCAATGACTGACAGCCCTGTCTACACCTCTACTAGACCTGTATCAATGACTGACATCCTGTCTACACATCCTCTAGACCCGTATCAATGACTGACAGCCCTGTCTACACATCCTCTAGACCTGTATGAATGACTGACAGCCCTGTCTACACCTCTACTAGACCTGTATCAATGACTGACATCCTGTCTACACATCCTCTAAACCTGTATCAATGACTGACAGCCCTGTCTACATTTCTATAGACATGTATCAATGACTGACAGCCCTGTCTACACATCTAATAGACCTGTATCAAAGACTGACAGCCTGTCTACATTTCTATAGAACTGTATCAATGACTGACAGCTCTGTCTACACATCTACTAGACCTGTATCAATGACTGACATCCCTGTCTACACATCTACTAGACCTGTATCAATGACTGACAGCCCTGTCTACACATCCTCTAAACCTGTATCAATGACTGACAGCCCTGTCTACATTTCTATAGACATGTATCAATGACTGACAGCCCTGTCTACACATCTAATAGACCTGTATCAAAGACTGACAGCCTGTCTACATTTCTATAGAACTGTATCAATGACTGACAGCCCTGTCTACTATTCTATAGACATGTATCAATGACTGACAGCCCTGTCTACACATCCTATAGACCTGTATCAATGACTGACAGCCCTGTCTACACATCTACTAGACCTGTATCAATGACTGACATCCCTGTCTACACATCCTCTAAACCTGTATCAATGACTGACAGCCCTGTCTACACATCTAATAGACCTGTATCAATGACTGACAGCCTGTCTACATTTCTACTAGACCTGTATCAATGACTGACAGCCCTGTCTATACATCCTCTAGACCTGTATCGATGACTGACAGTCCTGTCTACACATCTATTAGACCTGTATCAATGACTGACAGCCCTGTCTACACGTCCTCTAAACCTGTATCAATGACTGACAGCCCTGTCTACATTTCTATAGATATGTATCAATGACTGACAGCCCTGTCTACACATCCTCTAGACCTGTATCAATGACTGACAGCCCTGTCTACACCTCTACTAGACCTGTATCAATGACTGACATCCTGTCTACACATCCTCTAGACCCGTATCAATGACTGACAGCCCTGTCTACACATCCTCTAGACCTGTATCAATGACTGACAGCCCTGTCTACACCTCTACTAGACCTGTATCAATGACTGACATCCTGTCTACACATCCTCTAAACCTGTATCAATGACTGACAGCCCTGTCTACATTTCTATAGATATGTATCAATGACTGACAGCCCTGTCTACACATCCTCTAGACCTGTATCAATGACTGACAGCCCTGTCTACACCTCTACTAGACCTGTATCAATGACTGACATCCTGTCTACACATCCTCTAGACCCGTATCAATGACTGACAGCCCTGTCTACACATCCTCTAGACCTGTATGAATGACTGACAGCCCTGTCTACACCTCTACTA